AAAACACCAATACACATACAAATAAATAAACTAAAAAAAAAAAAAAAAGATTTAAAAAAACAATAAAAAAGCCTGGTACCAAAGCTCAACAATTCTCATCTAGTTCCTTCACAGGGTGAAGTGGAACCCAGTTGCAGGCTCTGCTACTATGGCTTCCCAGCAGGCTGTCAGGCACAAATGTTATTTTGGTGAGGACAGAGGTGTCAGAACACCCGATTACTGCATAGTTAAAAAGACTGTCTGCAGAAGTTCACTGGGGCAGAACATAGTGGAAGTGTACATTAAGTGGAAGTGCACATTAAGAAAGTGGCACCGGTGAGAAAGGATCTGGAAGGTTTTCAAAGAGATTTCACTACCCACATTGTTTTATTAGCTTTTGAGAATTTCACAGAATTTTATATAACATACTCAAAATAAGGACTCAACCTTTAGTAAACATATACACACTCTAACCTGGAAAAAGCCTGCTGGCACACCTAGTGTAGTCAGTGCTTCTCAAAGTTCAACATTCTTCCCTCACAGAGATGTCAGGGTTGAGCTTGAAAAACAGCCTGTGTTATTACAGAACACTGGATTCAAAGTGAGATAAAGCCCTGGCTTCGCTATTGACCTTCATCAAATTAAAAACAAAAAACAAACAAACAAACAAAAAACAAAAAGAACCCACATTGCCCTAGTGTTGAGGTGCATGACTTTAATCTTAGCACTCAGGTGGCAGAGGCAGGAGTTTGAGGCCAACCCAGTCTACAGACTGAGTTCAAGGCCAGCCAGGGCTATACAGAGAAACTGTCTTGAAAAGCCAGTCAGCCAGCCAGCCAGCCAGCCAGCCAAAAATAGACAAACAAGAAAACCCCACATTGGCCTTCAATTTCTTCAACTGTAAAATGGGATACTAGAGCCCACCTACAGGTGCTGTGAGGGTTAGTGAATGTGCATCACTGCAGTTCAGCAAATTCTTTTTTTTTGTTTTGTTTTGTTTTTTTTTTCAGCAAATTCTTAAAAGTGGTAGTTTTATCACATGTACTACACCATCATAATCATCATCATCATCATCATCATCATCATCATCATCATCGTAGAAGCTACAACACTGTCTGGTTACTGACATGCTCTGGTGCTGGTAAAATAAAGCACAGAAAAACAAAAGACACTAGAACAACCATGTCCAAGTTAACTAATTCTTAGTCATACAGTTTACCCATTACCTACTTCCTTCCTATAAAATCAAAGCTTGCAACAAAGTAGAAATAAAAATATGGGCTGGGGTGTAGCTTAATGATAGAGTACTTATCTAGCATGTACAAGACCAAAGTGGGGAAAACCAGAATTAGAAGAGAAGGTGCTGCAGGCAGCTTGCTAACAACATAGCATGGAGGAGGTAGAGAAAGGAGAAAAACAAACCGCACCTATATATGTAAAGAAGACAAGTTAAAAATAAACAAACAAACAAACAAACAAACAAACAAACAAACACTCCAAAAGGCTAGGAGCATTTTCTTCAGAAATGTGTAACCACATAAGCCCTGCTAATCCAGAGCACTTCTGGCTGGAATGCCACTGTTCTCAGCTATTATCACTCAGCTAGGTTATTTTGTCAAAGACTACTAGAGAAATCCCCCCATCCCAATGCTTAAAATGTGACCATTCTGGTGTCTAAAATAGATTTTCATTCATGAGAAGAGTGTCAGTGAAACGGTTGAAAGACCAACAACGTTAGACAAATGTATTTGGTGTATGGAGACATACAATGGAGGGCAATCTTTTAACTACTGTTTCCAGGAACTGTCAGTATATAAAATATATATATATGTATTTATATATACTTATATCTATATATCTATATATACTTATATATTTATGTATATATTTATAGACACACACACACACACACATATAAATGAAGTCACACATTGTGGCTTTTTCAAATGGAGTCTTCAAGAATCCGTTGTAATGAAAAAATTGCAACAGAGGCTAAGTGAGGTTGAGAGGAGTGACAGAGCAAGACTACACATCCAGCAGGGTTAGGTTTCTTTATTCTCTATTTCATAAGACTTGGCTACTCCAGAGACCCAAAGTACAGGGAAGGGAGCGTGCTGCCCACGTGGGTAAGGTGCTGAGACACAACTCTAAAGGCGTGACGATAGATGAAGCACTAGTCTTAAGACTTAATCTAATAGACAAAGGCAGACTCCTCCAGATGTGGTGTTCCCGCCCCCAACTTATGTCACACTGGCCAATATCTAACTTGAAGAAAACAATCTCTATATGAATTTTAAGTCCTAAAGGAATTTAATAGCAGGAATGTTAATTTAATCTTTTAAATAATGAACAGAGGTCCTCTGGAGGGTGGGGCTGGGGCTGGGGCTTAGCAGCAGCAGCCACTAAACATCACCGCAGCACTGCGCGGCCAGCACTGGGCTGCTCACTTCACACATTATTTCATTCCAGTGTTGCAGCAATTTTGTGCAGGGCCTTTGTTACTCTTATGAAATAGGCAGGAAGCCCTGACACAGATGTTAGTAAATTTACCTGGTTTCATAGCTAGTAACAGAAGTAGAACTGGAATTTAGAATTCAGGTTTAATATGGTAAAAAAAAAAAAAAAGGACCAAGTGTCTTAATTGTAATTAAACACTATGTGTAGTCCACTTGAACACTATTTTCCCAACATATTAAATATAGAAAACACTGATGAAAATAGTAATGTATTTTTTCTTTTCTAAACTTATTCCTTTTTACCCTCAAGTCCTTTTCTTTTTTCAAGAAAAAATTATTGCATTTTATTTAATGTGTGTGTGTGTGTGTAGGTGCATGCGTGCCAGGGTACATGTGGCAGTCTGAGGAGTTAGTGTTCTTTCCAGCAGGTGGGTCCTAGGGATTGAACTCAGGTCTTGGCAGCTGCTGAGACACCTTGCCAGTACACTCACCCCATTTTGGTAGTCAGATAAGCACTCTGCCACTATAGCACCTGTCCTCTTTTTAAACTTTATTTATTTTTTGTTTTTCAAGACAGGGCTTCTCTGTGTGATAGAGCTCTGGCCATCCTGGACTCACTCAGTAAACCAGGCTGGCCTCAAACCACCATGTCCTGATATTTATTTTTTAAGATGGAGGTCCATGTAGTCCAGGCTGTCTTCAGATTTCCTATGGATGACCTTGAATTTTAAAAAGAAAAGAGAGAGAGGCTGGGTGGTGGTGGCATATACCTTCAGTTACAGTACTTAAGGAGCAAAGCAGGCAGATCTCTGAGTTCCAGGACAGCCAGGGCTACACAGAGAAACCCTGTCTGAAAAACAAAGACAAAAACCAACCAAAAAAAATTAGCTGTAGTTTTATTCATGTGTTATGTGTGTGTCTGCCACATGTTTGTTCATGTCAGTCAATGGGAGCCAAAAAAAGGCTCCGTTGGAGCTGGAGATACAGGCAGCTGTTAGTCACATGATACAGGTACTGAGAACTGAACTTGGGTCCCCAAGAGCAGCAAGTGCTTTGGACTGTTAAGCTTTTGATATTCTTGCTTCCACCTGACAAGTGCTGGGATTACAGATGTACACCATGACTGACTTATCCAGCACTCATATCAGACAAGCACTCTCCTAACTGAGCGACATCCCCTGCCTCTCAAAGTGTCAATGAGAACTGAAAATGAACAAAAGGAGGCAAACTGGATGGCTGCTTAGCATTTTCACCACCCGAAGCAAGCTTGCTGCTGTTGTCTTTAGAGCTAAGTGATAAACGTGAACAATTTATTTCAGACACTGAGGTCACCTCATAAAAGTAAAGTTGTAAAACATCACTTTTACTTTTTGGAAGGTGAAAGGGACTTTCTTCAAATCCTGATGTTTTAGTAAAGTACTGGAGAATCCTTCTAGTTAGGAACTGGGACAAGACCAAAACTCAGGTCTTGCAAGGCTTCATGTGCAGAGATGAAGTTCTCAGAAGACTGCTCACTGATTTGTGTGGTGAGGCTGCCAATCTTGGCCCACAAACTTGGATCTGAGTGATTACTCTTGGGAGGATATTATTTCTCTACATGGATGACAGGACCTAGATTTGAAGACTGGCTAAGAATGGTCCAACAGGAATCTATGATGCAATGTAAAAAAACAGGCTCAGTATGGGGTGGTTAATGGGTAAGGCACTGGGTTCCATGACTACAGAATGAATGAATGACCCAGCAGGGCGCGGTAATGCATGCCTTTAATCCAGCACTCTGGAGGCCGAGGCAGGCAGATCTCTGTGAGTTCGAGGTCAGCCTGGTGTCAAATGAGTTCAGGACAGCCAGGACTACCCTGAGAAAAACCCTATCTCAAAAACAAAACAAAAGAAAAGAAAAGAAAACAAAACAAAAAACAGAAACAAAAAAAACCCCAACCCCCCCCCCCCCCCCAAAGAATGACCCACTCTCAACTTTGGTGCAGATATTGACTGAAAAGCACCTAGCTCTTTCAGCTCTTTCAGCTCTTTCTAACTACAGCAGAGTGACTTAATGCTGTATGTGTCTGCTCTCACCCAAATGTGCCAGTTCTTAATAAATGTCACAGATACATTGGTCTAGATTTATTTCCAATCTATTTTTTTTTTTTACAGTAATTGCTCAAATAAGTATGTTTAAGGCCAAATATACACAAGGTTCATAACATTATAGCTGGGCTATTTTGATATTTACAAAGTTCTTAGGATTAAGATGTTCTAAATCTAAAATAGTACAGTGAAGGCTTCAACTATGTTTCATGACCTCAGTTAACTGAAGAAATACCTCAGAAAGCCTGAGCTTCATGTTAAAGTCATAAACTGGAATAGAGGACTGAGGAGTTAAGAAATGTTGCATCTGTGTGTGATATTAGGAGTCACTTAATTGCTGTGCTGACTGACACTGAACTCCTGTGGGTGTTACAGTCAGATCCAAATACTCTAGAGGCAGACATCTTTTAAATTCATTTCTCCATATTCAAAGAGAGGGAAACAAATAATTTAGGCTTTAAATTTTCCATAACTTACCTATACCGCTCTTCCTGTAAGGTCTGCATTATTAAGGAGTAGTCCCTCTGATAATGCTCTTTGAGGGTCTCGAAGGATTCTTCCAGTCTGGCCTGGGTTTCCCGGATCTCCTGGATCTCATGCAGTAGTGCATCAAACCCTGAGCTCTGCATGTCTAGGGTGTTTGTTTTGGAGCTGGATGCTCCTACAGCAATGCCCCCGGTGGTACTGTTGGCTCCTACTGAGCCTGAAGTGGCACTAGAACAATCTTCCTCACTACCATATTTTGGACTTGACTGAAAGTTTGAAATCACTCCCAAAGCCTTTCCCCCGTCATCCACTTGTCCTTCCTCTAATGAGTCCTTCAGGTTAGGGATGTTGTCTGCACTGCCAAATTTGTTTCGAATCAGTGAGGCAATCTCTCTGGGTTTGGAGACCACAGCCCCTGCTGCTGAATGGGTGGCCTGGGAGAAGCTGGAAAATCCACCTTTGACGCTGTCCACTACACCTTCACTGAAGCCAGTTACCTTTGCACCCACATCCTTCAGACCCTGGTGCATGTCTCTGAAGACATCCTTGGGCTGCCGGGGGATCCCGTTCTGTTCCACCTCACGAAGCTTGCGATGGTAATGTTCAAGCTTCTTCTGCAGCTGGAGGATGGTCTGTGCAGATTTCTGGTTTTTCTTCTCAAACACCTGTTTGATGCGAGCAGCCTGCTGTTTGTCCGCACTGTTGGCAAGCTTCAAATATTCAGCAACGTTGTCGTCTCGGGCTGTCTGTGCAATCTTGATCTGTTCTGTGAGCTTTAAGATCTTCTGCTGCAGGTGTGCAATGGCAGCTTTTGTGCGCTGAGGATCTGGTATTCCATCCACAGACTCTGTGTGGATGCTGCCATCGGTGCTGGAGGCCACGGCACTGGAAGTCTGGGCGAGGCTGCTTACTTCCAAACGCTCAATCTAACATTTGAAAAGCAAGAGGTGGATATTAGAAGCAGCCCAGAACCAATGTGCCAAAATGTGCTAAAAATATGTCTATGCTGAACTCTCAGCACAGATGGCTAACCTGCACATCCTCCTGTCCTGTAATAGCCCTGCTGCCCTCCTGGCTAGTCTTTATCCAGTATTTCTTTAAATAACAAAGCTCTCTTTGTTAGTTGAGAACATGAATTAGTTTGCATTCTTATGCATGCTTCCGTTCAGAAGCAATCTATGTAAGACAGCACGTCAAGCTTTTGAATGTAATCCTATGAAAACCATTCTGGTGCTCAGACGCCAGAGTCATTCTGAGCCATACTCACAGATTGGTCCCCTGAAAAGGCTAGCAAGAACAGATATTTTGATGATGTGATATAAGCATCCAATTGTCACCACGAGTGTTTGTTTGTGTAAGTCACACCCAGGGTAATGAGATCATTCTCTATTCTTGGGACATTTTGCTGCAATGGGAGACAGGCAAAGGCTAGACTGGGGAGGTGCTGCTGAATGCTATTGAATTAAAGTAACTGTGGTGTACCTGGGAAGACAGTATGAATAGACAGGGACAGTGAGAGGAATCTTTTTATCTGATAAAAGGCTTGCCTTAGGTAAGAAGCTACAAAGCTCACACACTGTTCTTTCATATGGATGAGAGTCACTACAAGGAATGAAAGAAAGTACAACTGCTCAGACTTGAAAGCTTACATTCCTAAATGTCAAAACAGGTAGCTTAGACTGGAGGATGCCAGCTTTCCTCCACCTGGAAGAGTGCCCTATCTGTGGCTTGTGCTAGTCACGTAGATAAAGTAGGACCCAAAGAAGAAGACTTTAAACACTGCTCCATAAAGCAGCAGCAGAAATCTTAGGTCAATAAAAATGCCTGCTTCAAGAGTTAGGTTGTAACTTGGCCATCTGTAGACTAAGGTCATACCCTTTTCTTGGTCCTGAGACAATGTGCCAGTAAGAACTATACAGAGGACAACCCCTACATGATCATGACCTTACTTACCCAGGAAATGCCAATAATTAACCTGTTGTCTCAAAGTGTCATCTCTCATCTTGTATGTACAGCATCTTATTATTTTATCATCTGAGCTTTTATAAACATATTTAGTTCAATCATATTGACTAGGGGTATACTTCAGTTTAAGTACTTGTAGGCATATGAGCCCTGGGTGTGATGTCCAATACTGGGGGAGGGGGGAACAGAACAAAAACCCAAGAGTATTTTTTTCTTCCTATTTCAATGAAACTGAATGTTGGGGCTAGGAATGCAGATCAGTGGAAGAGCCCTGCCTCCCATCCCCAGCACAGTAAGAGATGAAAACCTTCACAGAGACTAGTATGATGCCTTTTGCATTACTTCCTACTCATAATGCTCCACCTTTGAGGAGCACAGTGGCTAGAGACTGCAGAAGGGAGAGGTAGCCAGAATTCCAGATGGACAAGGTATCAAGTGCTCTGAAAACCTCACTCTTCAGTTCTCCAAACTAGCTGCACAAGCTTACCTTTACTGGATTTTCCTTCTGAATGAGATTTAGACTCTTAAAAGTACATGATACCACTCTGCTTATTTATGTCCAATAATTAAGCTCAAAATCTACCACAGAATGTATGAAATGGAGATATGAAGAATCCTCAACTAAGCTTCCCCATGCTCAAGTTTATGAATCTGTGAGATTAAAACTAGCCACATTGGGGGCTAGGAGAGATACAAGGGCACTGGACATGCATGTGGTACACAAACATACAGGTAAAACACTCATACACATAAAAATAAATCTAAAACAATTAAAAAAACTGTTAGACGCTAGAATCAAAGTTCAACCATTTAAAAAGAAATCACAATAATTTTCAACAAATGTTTATAAATGATCACATTTGATTAGAATTGTGCTTCTTTATAAAATAACTAACTAAAACAGATTCTCCTTAATTCTTGTCTTACCTGGGGCCAGTGTGTCCTCCCATGAAGAGTTCCCACATAGATATCAATACACTTGTAAGAGGACAACTGATACTAGAAACTGGACATCACTGCAATACTCAGGAACAGCCCCTTGAAAAAGACCCATCTTATCTATCTATCTATCTATCTATCTATCTATCTATCTATCTATCTATCTATCTATCTATCTTCCATCCATCTATCTATCTACCTACCTATCTATGAGAAAGGGTTTCTCTGTATTGCCCTGGCTGTCCTGGAACTCTTATCTGTAGACCAGGCTGGCCGCCAACTCAGAGATCTATCTGTCTGACTCCCAAGTGCTAGGATTAAAGGCATGTGCCGTGTACCACAGGGCAAAAGGGTAGAAACTCAGAAATAGGGCAGGAACTAAGTCCTAAAGGGGAAGTCTGTGCTGCAAGCATGGACACCTGGCCCCAAAAGATGAATCTATCAACCAGAAAACAGTTCCTTTGCCATTGGATATAGCTAACAGCAGAACTGGATCCCTAACCCACTCTAGACAACTCAGTTCCAAATGTGAAAAGCATAGTTTTCAAAGGTGACACTAAATAATACCACCCCAAGGTGGCGCAGAGAATCAAACCCTGTGTCATTCACTCAACCACTAAGCTACATAACCAATCCAAGACTTTCTCCTTTTTCCTACAGCATTTTGATAGCAGTAACGCAAGCTGGCCTACACTCCTCCTGCCTCAACTTACTGAGTAGTGGCACTGCCCTAGAATTTCTTGAAAGGTACAAACATAAAAAAGCAAGATGACTGGCACACTCTGGTGCCCTGGTGAAGCACCGACTGGACCAAAGGCTGCTCAACCGTAAAGGCGAGGAAACTCTGATGCAGTCAGGAGGCTGTTTTATGGATGAAGTAAGTCATGAGTGTCAAAGTGTTATAACAGCACCTGGCAGAGCAGGCTGTTGACATTGGCCATCACTGGAATAGCATGTGAGTCGTTCTTATTAAAGATCTCATCATTAATAGATTCCAGATTATACTACTTCTAAGACATAAAAAAGCAAGGGGTATAAAGAATCCAGAACAAAGGTAAAAATTCAACTCAACATTTTGAAAGTTGGCCTTGTGGTCTAGCCCATGGCCAGGTAACCTTCCAAGCTTCATAATAAGCTCAAAACCATTATTACCAATTTGTAAGCAATGGCAAAAAAGCATGCCCCCCAGCCAGCTGTCAGCAGGCAGGAAGAGCAAATATATTAAAGATCACTTTTGTAAGTGGATTAATGTACCAGTACAAGTTGGGTTGACAGGAGGGTTACAAGATGGAAGCCAGCCTGTGCTACGAGACAAGGCCTTGTGTAAACCCTACACAGGTTAGACAAGAAACGGACAAAGAGAGACATACAACACACAAGGGCACAAGACAGAGGCAAGAGGATACAGCAGCAGACAGCAATATTCCAGAACAAAATACAATGGTTTGAGCCCACTGTGACCTTTCCAAATTCACTAGCTGTGTTTCTGGGCTGCCCATGTATTCTCTTGGTGCCTAAGTTTTTCACTTACACAGGGGTCATTTTTTTCCTAAAAGTGTTCTGAAAAGATGTTGAATGTATTACAAGTGGGGACTGGGAGTATATAGCAAGTGCTAGAGTGTTTTTTGGTCCAAAAAAGGTCCTGGGGCTTCAGCCCAAGAGCACACACTTCCTTCCTTCTTTCTCTCTTTTCTGCTTTCCTTCTTCCCATTTTCTCTTTTTAAGATAGTCTTATTATGTATTCTTCATTGGTCAAGAACTTGCTTTGCAGACTATGCTGGCTTCATATTGAGGCATTCATTCTGCATCTGCCTCTCAAATGGTGGAATTACAGCCTATCAAGCCTATCTCAAATAATTTTTCTTTTTAAATTTTTTTAATTTATGTGTTTATTTGTGTCTATATGCATAGATGCATGTGCTTCAGTGAAGGCCACGTGTGGGATCCCTGGAGCTGGAGTTGTAGGTGAGTGCTGGGACTGCACTCCCATTCTTTCAGGAGCAATATGGAATCTTAACCACTGATCCATCTCTCCAGGCCTGTCAAATCAATTTTCTTAACTAGATGGCCTTTTAATTTCTTCTTAGCCTGCCCAGAGGGAATATCTATAAAAATAGCATCCCTACAAAGTCAACATATTATTAAAATTTCTAAACTTTTTTGGGTGGAGATACCAGGGTATACATGTGGAGATCAGAAGACAGCTTTTGGGAATCAATTCTCTCCTGCCATGTATATCCTGGGACTGAACCTGGCTTAGCAGAAAGTACCTGCTGAGCCACCACAAGCCAACATAGTCTTATAGTCACTACTGGGGTTGTAGAATTTTTTTTTTTTTTAATTTTATTTCCAGTGCCTAGCATAGGCTCTACACATTGAGAATGGGGTGAAGAATACTATAAAGCTTTCTTAACAAGAATAAATCTTCTGGCCAGGCATATGCAGCTCTATATTATAATTTTCTTAATCCTTAAGAGTGGGCCAGAAGTAGACCTGGCAAGTGCTGGTGGTAGCTGAGTTTTGTGTCAGCAGGATATCAGTCCTATGTGAGGATCTGAAAGTAGCAGCCCTAGATCCTACAATGCATGCTCTACAGCTGAGTAGAATATTCACAATCTGAATTGATACCAACTGTAATCCTAACATTAGGGAAGCAGACATAGAGTTCAAGGGCAGTTTGGTCTATATAGAGAATTCTAGACCAGCCAAAGCTAGAGTAAGACCTTATCTGGAAATACACACACACACACACACACACACACACACACACACACACACACACA